AACAATCAACCAATAAATCAATTAAGTAAACAAAAATGGGTTCGAAAAGCTCACCGACGGGGACGGATGAAACTGACGACGTTAACGTGACCCACTGGTCGGGTTTTGCACTGAACAAGCCAGGGAACACGGTGGTGACGGTGGTGAGGCGAGACGGTAGCCGGATCAGCCAGAATCGGGGAAAAATTGAGGCATCGAGTGGTTTTACATCAGAGTTTTATGAGTTTTCTACAGCAATTGGCAGTTGTTTCAGACAATCCAAGAGTTGGCCCGAGGTCGCGGGTTGCTGCTGAGGTTGATGGCGACGGCGGTGCACGACATCGTCGACCAGAGGGGCTATGAACGATGGGGGTTTATATGGGTTTCCCGATTGGGGGTCTCTGGTTTGGTTTTTGGGTTCTCACCCAAAACCAAATTATAAAATGTATATTTATTATTTTAAACTCAAATAGTGACCTAGGTCTGTCGGTAGCCCTAAGTCATAGGTTCAAGCCTATCCAACCCCTTATTTCCATTTTTATATTTTTGCTGTCATGAGATTATGGAAAAATTACAAGACTAGTGCCTGAACTTCCTAAACTTTTGAAATTAACCTAGAATTTTTAAAAACATATAGTTTTATTCTTAAATATTAATTAATTAACTTTAAATTAATTTTGGGGTGTGACAACCCAACGATCCAACGATGTGTATGACAGCAAAGGAGACAATGACCGATAAGGGAGATGATAAGGGAGATGATAAGGGAGACATCGACAATGGTGACCGTGGTCGACAATGAAGGTTAGGGTTAGGGTTTTTGGATTTTTTGGGATTTGTGGCCTTTTTGTAATTTTATGAAAATAGGGTTTTTTATAAATATAATATATTTTTAAAAAAAATAAACTTTTCAAAATTATCAGAATGTGGCATGTGTCACTTAATGGAATATTTTAACAGGTGTTACGGCTTGGGCAGTTAAAATGGTAACGTTTGTAACGTTAGACACCTGAATGAATAAAAAAAAATTAGGTACATATTTGGGAAAAATGAAATAGTTTGGACACTTATTTTCTAATTAAGCCTTTTTTAGTAGGCGACTAATCAAAATGAAATCGAAACGTACAGTTAAGTATAATTTTAAAAGATATAATAGTTAGGTGACCAATATAAAATAAAGGTGATATTTAAGATATTAAACTTGTAGTTTACCCTTTTTTATTTGGAAAAGGGGATTTATCCTGCCGTTCGATCATTTCACCCAATATGATTACGACAATATTCTATAGAAAACTTTTATTAATTATTTATTTTATTAATAATATTTATTTTAAATTTTTATTTATTTATATATTATATAGAAAACTATATTAATATTGAAAAATATTATTATATTGTTCATCTTAGCACTCGACATATTCTACTGATTCGGTCCGCCAGCTCTACTTCGTATATGTGCACTTTGATCCATACTGTACAGTTATCATTTTAATATGTCTCAAGTTTTATACCACAAATTTAATTTTTTATATTTTATTTTATCAAATTATTCTTTATTTTAATTAAATAAAATTCTTAAATTTATTCAAAAATAACTAAATAAGGTTCTTAGTCTTATAAAAGAGTCAATTTATTTTATTTTGATCTATATTCATGTTAAGAAAAAAAATTAACTCTTTTTTAAATAAAATTGTTGTCAAATTCAACTAAAATAACAAGTCAAACTGATAAAGAATATAATTATTAAAGGTTAAATTTATTATTATATAAAATATTATTAAATATATTGATAATAAAAAGTAAAATTTATATAATTATTTAAGACGCTAGTAGGTGTCAGTTTAATACTACTTTTAAAAATTGTTTTAGAAAGTAATATAAAAAAGTTTTTAAAAAAATGCAATTTAAAATTCAATTGTTTAAAAAATGACTTTGAAAATATAAAATATTAATTTTAGGTATTATATTATAAATTGAGAATATAATATTTAAATTATATTTACACCTATTAATATTACAATGTTTGAAATATATCAACTTAAATTATGATAAAATATAAAATTTATTTTATGATAACTCATTAATAATATTTGTTTATATGATACATTTTATTAAAAAATCATATTCTTAAAATTATTATAAAATAATAATTTAGATATTTATTTTGATAATAAAATAATATATATACTTTTTGTTCCCAAAAAATAATATATATACTTAAAGTCAATAATCTTTGAAGTGTAATCAATTTATATCTAACAATTAATTTGAAAATTAATAAAAAAATAATTACTAAACAATTATAGATGTTTGTATATTGATCTAGAAACCAATTAAAATTAAATAATTAAACAAAAATATAATTTTATAGTAAAATTGATTTTCCACAGAAAAAGTTATAAATTTAAGTTTTTGAAATTAGATTGAAAACTATTTTTTAATCATAATTTTAAATTAATTTTTAAATATTAAGTATAACTTATGGGGCAAAAAATAATTTTTTCATTACCAAAAGCATTCTTAAAATATCAATTTAATCTATGAATTTAATTAAAAATATATTTATTTTTAAATATTACATGTATTATTTTTGTATTTTTCATGAAATATTAAAATTAGCTGACCCTATTCCCATATGTAATAAGATGAGGAGGAGGTAAGAAAGATAGTAGGCTGCCCCCAACGCCAGGTTGGGAGCAGCTTTCGTAGAATACCTTCGGCAGTCAAGATTATGAATTGCCCATCGTGTGACTCGATCCCACGACCACAAGGTTAAGAACCTTGCACTCTACCAACTGAGCTAGACGGACAATACTTATGAAATACTAAATGTTAATTATATATTTGTTATCCCCACAGTCTAGAAAGGGCGCCAAATATAATAATAAGTAAATATGGGTCTTTACAATTGTGTGTCAACCTTAGAAATAATTTCTTCCTTAGAGAAAAAAAGAACGGTATATAAAATCTTATCACTTAGTTTTTTTTTATGCTTAGTCATTAAAATTTAAAAAAAAATAATATAATTTTTATTTTATTTTGATCACTCTATCATCAAATATTTAACAACATTATATCTAGATATTTAAAAAAATTATGAGATAGACCAAATTTTTTTGGAAATATGGGTCTTTAAAACTGTGGGTCAATTTTAGAAATAATTTCTTTCTTAAAAAATATAGAAGGATAAATTATTATTTTTTATCAGTTAATTTTCTTTTTCTTTTAGTAACTACAATTTAAAAATTTACAATTTACTTGTTAAATTTTTATTTATTCTTATGTTAGTTACTTCATTGTTAAATATTTAACAATATTATATTTAAAAAAATTTCTTTAAAAAATTATGAAATGAACCAAAAATTTTATTCATTTTTTGTGAAAACCCTAAAGTGAACTTTATTTGATTTTTCAATGATGATGTATATTCTTTTAAATCTCAACGGTGAGGAGGTGAAGAAGGAGGAAGTGAGTTATATATCTTGATTCCATGATGACCGAATTATGAATATTATAGATCAAACTAATTTGATGTTTCATGATTTTTGAATTGAGGATTGAGTTTTATGAATTTTAAAGTGATTCAAGTTAGCTTTAACATGATATAGTGGTATGAGACAAAATCTTTTATATATTGAGTAGTCAAAGAAGACGTCAGAGAATGATAAATGCAAGATTGACGTGACACAAATGAAATTATAAAACTATACAAGATTAACGTGACACAGATGAAATTATAAAACTTTCAATCTTGGAAGAAGAAGTTCAAATATAAAAGAAACAAACATGAAAATGACGTGGATGACACGTAAGTTTCATATCAATATAAACATTCTACATCAACACACGTAGTTACCTCATCATCCTTCCATTTAATATTTAATACTGTAATGATCAAAACATGAGTAAATAAAAAACTAAATGAATAGATACAAAGGAGTTAGGCCGGGTCTACCGAACCCTAGAAAACGGCATTTATTCTCCTCCAATTCCCATAGAAAACTCCTTCCTCCGTGGGATTGGAAGTTGGTTTCCACCCATCACACCTTTTTAACTTTAAATTCGAAGATTCAATTTTAAAGGAAACTATTTTCATGGCCTTTTTCTATTATTATTTTTCTTGCTTTACAGTCTAAATACCAAAACCGGCAGTAGCCGGTCCTCCCCCATGCTAAAACTACCAAGCAAAAACAAACACATCCTCAAAATTCACATTTTGACTCATACTCTGGATTTTAATTGCTCTAAAACACCAATAAAATTATTGCCGGAACTACAAATAATTCCGAGAATTGATTCTATTTGGACAATCTTGATCAATATTTTGATTTTTCTTGATATTGGGGGTCTAGAAATCGTAGTAAATATAAGTGACGGATTTAAAGTTTAAAAAATATGATCTAAAATTTGGTATGTATTTCTTACAAGATATTGAATATGTAAATTTTCTTTCATTTTCTTGTTCCCTTGATATATTAAATTAAAATTTTTAAAATAATGAAATAAATTTAATCCTTTAGAGAGTTTAAGTGTAACCGCTCCAAGTTGATATTATTCTTTGCACTGACACGTGGACAAGAAAGTTAAAATATAGTCCCTGTGGATGTGTAACAGGCAAGTGATTGTAACATGAACCAAGCAGTTTTCCTGACCTGTGCACTGGTTTATTGGGGTAACCTCCATTAGATGATCCTATCGGTTTTGCAAAATTAAAGAAGGACCCAGTAATTTCATTCTATTTTCAGCATGTAATAACGACCCATTTGGTAAGAAAGGGCAGCTTAGGGATAAGTAGAGGAAACGGGCAAAGTCTCGAATGTTACATGTCCTTCATACATACGTTTGTTTATTTATTTATTTATTTATTTATTGATATGTTTTAGGAGAAAAGTAAATCCCCCTATATATATATATATTTTTTTTTTCTTTTTAAAAGAAGATAGTTTCTGTATCATAGTATATATCTGTTGGTGGAGGAATGCTTGTCACCTACTCTCTTTTTTTAGTTTTTCACTCCCTCTCTTAAAACTCTCCGGCAACTGTGTTTGAACTCCGGCAATGGACAAACATAAGTGCAGGTTATGTTTCAAAAGCTTTGCAAATGGAAGAGCTTTGGGTGGTCATATGAGGTCTCACATGTTCAATCTTCCTCTTCCTCCCAAACTTGCAGACCATGAACCAACGAATCAACTCATCCATGAGTCCGAGTCGGCCTCGGCTTCGGCTTCTTATTCGTCTTCATCGGAAGAGGAAAAAGGTCAGTCTTACGGGGTTCGAGAGAATCCCAAGAGAAGTGTTCGGTTGGTAGATCCTGTGTTTGTCCATGCTGCTGGCTCCGTTGTTCTTCAAGACAGAGAAAGTGAGACCGAGTCTTCTAAGAACCCAACTCGGAGACGATCTAAACAGACTCGGAGAATACTAGGAAATCAACAAGAAGAAAGAAAGAAGGTTAAAGTTAACCTTCCGAGTAGGACCGAATCCTGGGCTGAGCCAGAATCGGTGAGTTCGATCTCCGACACAACAACTGAAGACATCGCTTTCTGTCTCATGATGCTTTCAAGGGATAAATGGAAAAGCAAAGTAGTACATCACGATGATGATGATGATGAAGAAGAAGAAACATATGAATCACAAGAGCACTTCAAATCAAGCAAGGTTATTAGAACAAGTCGAGGCAAGTACAGGTGCGAAAAGTGCAATAAAGTTTTTAAATCGTACCAAGCACTGGGTGGACACAGAGCGAGTCACAAAAAAACGAAACCTTACTCGCCGGCAACTCATGAAACAGTATTGGAAACTGAAAATATGGGCACTACTAGTAGATCAATTACAGACAAGAAAATCCACGAATGTCCTGTTTGTTTCAGAGTCTTCTCATCTGGACAAGCTCTTGGTGGACACAAAAGATCTCATGTAATAAATGGTCAAGCGGCAACAACCCTTGTCAAAATTTCCAGAAAGTTAAAAGACAGTTTCATAGATCTTAATCTTCCTGCTCCGACGGACGAAGATGACGCTAGCCAAATCGAACTTTCCGCGGTGTCTGATGCCGAATTTGCCAACCGCATCAAGTGACCCACGGCTTTACAGCAATGTTTAATTGATCCAAATCCAAAGGTAAAGTTTAGGCTTTGTTAAGACCGTTTCTTCTACTCTATTCTAACTGTAATTCTTTCCTCTGGGTTGTCTTTAAAGTTGTGTTCGTAAGGAACTTGATCATTGATTACAATTCCCAGGGAAGACAAGATTTTTAGACATGCTTTTGTTCATTTCTTGGTCACTGTTGGATTCACTGCAGTAACAAGCATTATCGTTGATGGGTTCTAGCTTTTTCAAAACCCAGTTTTGTTTTCTTTTTCCCCAATGCAAGTAAAGTCATTCTCAAAAGAAGAAGGTTCTTAAAAAAACACAAGAAATTTGTTTGTTTCTTTGTTTTTGAGCCTAAAAAAGGTGCTACTGAAGATCATTAAGAGTTTCTCTGCCTTTTATGTTTCCATGTTTTAACAGCATTTCATTTTGGTGTCTGCTTTTTCTTCTTTCCCCTCTGTTTCCTGTCTGAAACCGTTTCATGTTTTACCTACAAATCTGCTAAACCAGTACATTTGGTACAGAGATGACATTGAACTTGAATCTAATTTACTATAAAAGCATGGCTAAATTACATGTTTAGTACCCAATTACCACTTTTATTCCATTTTAGTCAATCAACTATCTTTTGTTTTATAACGATTCTTGGCGTTACATTTTGGTGTTATAAAAGAACGAAACTTGAAATAGGAAAAAAGAAAAGCGAAATCCTGTGTTTGTATTTACTGAGAATAACGAGTGTGGGTAAAAGCAAAGTATCCTACTGACTGAAGAGCAGAGATGTAAGAAAAAACAGGAGTCACATTGATTAGTTTTATAATATAAGTTCCAAGGTAGTTAGAAGGTAGAATTGCATTTTGTTTAGGGGAGAGGAATGAACAAATTTGGAGGTGATTTATAGGGTTAAGAAGATGCTCCATTAAGAAATTAGTGAGATTTAAGAGAGTAGGACCGCCCTCACAATGTGCTGTCTTTCAGGCTCTCACACCTATGTCTTCACGCATACAAATATGTTCGTATTGATTCAAGTACTATAAAGACTTTTCATAAGTTATTTTTATTTATTTGTTAAGATATGCTTTTTAAATCTAATTTATTTTATTTTTAATTTTAATATTTTAATTTTAAATATTATGTGATAAATTTAATATTTCATCTAACTAAAATAATTATCCGTAATTGATATTCCTTCCTACCCATTTTTTTTATCCTATATCGACCTTTACAATAATATTTATTTTAGAGATTTAATATTATGTCATATAAGAATATTTTATATGTTTATATTATTTTTATAATCTATAATTAAATAATAATAATAATAATATCTAAATATACACCATTAATGATATTAGATATCACTTGCGGATTTAAAAATACTTTTGAGGGTAAATAGACATATATTGATATATATAAAATTTTTGTACATAGAGTAAACACAAATAAAATTTCAAAAAAAAACACAATCAATAAAATAAATAACTATTCAAAAGAAATTAAATTCCAGTGCTCATCCTAAATAAATATCATGTACGTTTGCCACTACTAGAGGTTAAAAATAAGCCCAACAAAAAATGATTGAATTATTTTTATTCAGTTAAATATTATAAATTTATAAAAAAAATATTATTAATTTATAAATTATTTTTATTCATTTAAAGTATTATGAATCAAAAAATAGAAGAAAAATAAAATCAAAACATTTCCTAGAATACGTGTTTCATAAAAAAAATAACAAATATCAATAATCTCATTGTTTCTAGGTGTAAAAGAACAAAGTGTTCGACGATTTATTCGTGAATTGTTTGTATAACATTTGTTTATTAAGTTAAATAAATGAGTATGAATAAATTTTTTATGTTCATTTAATTAACGAACAAACACGAATAGACGTGTTTGGTTCATTTACGTTCACGAACAAGCATGGGAACGACTTGGGGCACGACGTAGTCTGATGTGGCAGTTTCTAGAAGATTCAGTTAGTAGCGATAGTTTATAGAAGTAGTCCAGTCAACATTATCTGGGAAAAAGGACGGACAAAATATTTTAGGAATTTAAATTTAAGTTTGTATTCAAAAACATTTTTGAGATTTATCTTCTTATGTTTAGGACAATTTATCTTTGAATTGTCATGTTATCTTTAGGGTTTTAGAAAGCTATACATGTAATGCCCCAAAAATCATATCAAGGACTTTATTGATAAGATTTATAAATTTGAGGATTTATTTGAAATATAACAAAAGAATGAGAAAAGGATTTGGAATAGTGTTTAGACTAAATTTTAACAATAGATGAATAAGAGGGCATTTTGGTCCTTTAAAGGGGAAATGAATTTAAAATTCAATTTTAATAAGGTATTAAAGTAAAGGAAAAGGGGAAAGAAAGTTAACCAAAAACCATCCATTTTCTTTTTCTTTCCCATGGAAGAGCTCTCCTCCATAGCCAAAGGTAAGGTTTCATTTGGCTAGCTTTTCCTTTCATTTTTGGTTGGTTTTTGAATCATTGAGTAATATAGAGGCTTAAGGAAGGGTTAAATAAGATTAAAACTAAGAGATGGATGAAATATTTGAGATTTAGGAAAATGAGTTTTTGAATGATATGTTAAGATATGAGTTTTTATTGATGTTTACTAGTATATTTGACTTGTCAAAGAAGTAAATAAGACATTATAAGCATTGGATCGGTGTAAAAACATGTTAGAAAAAAGTAGTATGATTATTGGATTGAAATGTTCTTTGGAGATTGTAGATGTTATAAGTAGCTAAATGAAGGAAAGTTAGTTGGGATAAGTAAAGAAGAGTTTGATAGTATTGTCGGAGATAAAAATAAGGGAAATTGGCCAAATATGGGTAAATATCGGGCTAAAAATGGAAAATATGGGTAAGGGTATTGGTACTGGAAGACTAGTAGCGATATTATAGGCTTAAATGGGAAGAAATCAACTGAACAGTATCGATACTGATGCAATTAGTATCGATACTGAGGTGGGTATGAGAAAGGTATCTATACCATTGATTATAGAATGCAGAAATGTTATCGATACCGTATTAGAGTACCCGTACCATAGTATAGAAGTATCGGTACTAAGAGACAGATATCGATACCATGGATCCAGAATGTAGAAATGGTATTGATACTGAAAGGGAGTATCAGTACCACAATATAGAAGTATCGACACCATGGTAGGGGTATCAATACTATTGAACTAGAAAGTTTAAGATAGGCTGAGATTGTTATAGAAAATTTAATAATAGTACTTTTGAGTATTGTTTAAGTATGAATGTTAAGGAATATACTAACATTTAATATTGTACATGTCTTTGATGGATGCTTGAGTAGATCGAAATCAAGCTTCCAAGTCAAGCAAAACAAAAGGCAAAGGCAAAGTAGCTGAGTAATCATAATTGCATTTTGGATATAACAGTGAGGCAAGCCAGGTGAGTGCATTTATTATGTACTTATATGTTATGATAGTCATAGATGTATGTTGCTTAATATATGTATGGTGATTACCGTATGGGCACTGTGTGTGCAAAATTAAGAAATTCATAATAAGTTTATGAATTTCTGTATGGCCACTGTGTGTGCAAAATTAAGAAATTTATAATAAGTTTATGAATTTCCGTATGGGCACTGTGTGTGAAGAAATTCATAATAAGTTTATGAATTTTCGTATGGGCACTGTGTGTGCAACATTAAGAAATTCATAATAAGTTTATGAATTTCCGTATGGGCACTGTGTGTGCAAAATTAAGAAATTCATAATAAGTTTATGAATTTCCATATGGGCACTGTATCTACAAAACTAAGAAATTTATAATAAGTTTATGAATTTCCTTGTGGGCACTGTGTGTGCAAAACTAAGAAATTCATAATAAGTTTATGAATTTCCGTATTGGTAGTGGGTGTGCAACTCACGTAAATTATAGTAAGTTTGGGGAGGTACAATATTGGCACTACATGTGTAAACTATAGAGTGTATAATGAATTGAAAGAGTTAATGGATATTAGAATTTTTCATGATATACTTGTGTTTAGAATTTTGCTTATGATTATCTATGCCTCACTAAGAAGTTTCTTAATATGTGTTAATTTCACGCATAGGTTTTAATAGAAGCGGAGTGAGGAGATCATCTGACATCACAAAGCAAGGGTCGCCTCATCAGTAACTGTACAACATCCATGTCTATTTTTGATGTAATTAGTTGGCATGTAATAGACTTAGTAAAAAGGCTCTGAAAATATATTTGATTCATCATGATGTAAAATTATGAAATGTTTGAATATTTCTTTTTGTTTACCTACGTAAGTATAATAAATGTTTTATTATCACTAAAATAAAATGTTTTACAAAAAAAAAACAAAATTTTATAGATATTCAAATAAGGAAATGTTTTTAAAGTGATGTGACATATGTAGCTCGTGTATGGAAAGGTATACGAGATATGGGTGTTACATTTATTGGTATCAAAGGTACTAGTTTAGCTGATTCTCGGCCAAAATTGAGTCTATTTTAATGTAAAAAGGGTTTACATACCCTTAAGATGTCAAGGTTACTGATAGGGTATAGTTAGAATATGATCGATGTCTCTCCTTACTAACTTAAGTATTATCCTTATGTATGTTATAATAGATGTCGGATTCTACAAATTCCAGAAGAGCGGTTGATCGAGAGAATAGAGATGGATCGGGTAGTGAAAGCTTTGAAGAGAATATTGAACATCCGATTTCATCTGAGAACGCCATAGCACTGACACATCAGATTAAGCCCATCCCAGAGTTTGGAGCTTTTATGCAAGTTCTTGATGCTATATTGACATGATTCCAGCCTCCTCCGCCTCCCCCTGCTCCTCCAGCACCGCGAATGTTAATCCCTAAGGAGTTAAGGAGTTAAGAAGTTTAGGAGCTCCTGAGCTCCAGGGAGAAAAAGGTGAAGGTCCGATGGACGCTGATTTATGGTTAAATGATGTTATGGTGATGTTGGAAAGTCTTTAGTGCTCCGATCATGAAAAGCTAGGCAGAGTTGTATCGTTACTCTAAGGTTCAGCTCGAGTGTGGTGGTCAAATACGATTATGTATGCATCACCTGAACAAGTGAACTGGCAATTCTTTCAGGATAATTTCAAGAGCAAGTACAATGGGGAGTAGTTTAAGAGGTCAATGCTATTGAAATTTCTTAATTTGAAACAAGGCGATGGAG